TGTCCAATACAATGAAATGTTGTCATTTATTTTTAGCAAGCTTCATATACATATACATATAAAATGAACTGAATTAAAATATTATATTTCTGCCTTTCTTTTATATAAAAATATTCAAAATCTACTTAAAAATATTGTAAAAACTCAATCAATACACAAATCACATTGAAAGCATGTTATGATGTGATGATGTCATATGTCATATGACATCATCATGTCCTTATATAGTTCAACATGACATCATCATAGCCATATATGGGCAATTTACAAATATTAAGTCACACAAGAAAACTTGACTAACTTGCTTGGATATGATGAAAAGTTTAGCAGATTTGTCAATAAACATTATATAACCATATATTTTACTACCCCAGTTATGTATCCATTTACGTTACTTCTATAATGTTATATGTAGTATTAAGATAACTTAATATAGGCCAAATCAATAAAACCATTGAACTGAACTTTTACCTCACTACCCCATTACCTCACTAACCCATTAGACATCTGTTAAACGTCTCCTTAATTATTGTATAAAGTATTTGATAGGACAATAGCCAATTCGTGACAAAAAGCCCAAGTGGTCAACTCCTTGCATTTGATTTATAAAAAAAGCTTGATTGAGAGACAGATCGTTTACTAAATATAAGTTAAGTTTTACCCCCCAAAGTTGTTATATTATCTGACCAATAGAAACTCCCCAAAATGATGTAATAGTCAAATGATTAGGATAAGGTGATATCTTTCAACCAATCAGAGAAAGTCCACCACACCCCAAGCTTGTATGAAAAGTAAAGTATTAGTTATCTAGAGAAGACGTCCTTCTGATACCTTGAAGGAAACACTACGTCTCACAACCCTACTTGTATATATTGTATATATCATGCAGTAGAATAGTGAATAAAAGCTTTGCATTATAACCAGAAGAGATTTAGTCAGTTCAGTTATTAAAAGTAAACCATCTCGCTTGTCATATTACTACAATCACTACAGTCTTTGCATCCGGAACATACATTGAAATCGGGCACAACAACGTGAGCATTATATGGCGAACTGCCATATATAATATTACAATAAGTTACCTTCAATAACCATCTCTGTCACACTGTAACCATAGGCCTTTAATTCACCCTTGTTTATGTTGTTCCTTTTGTTTTGAATTTGATTTAATTTCTTTACTTTTATTTTGTTTGGATGCACCATCAGTTTTTGTCTGATGTGTGCCACTGATGCAAAAGTGAATCCAATAAATAATATTAACAAACTTACCAGTGAGTCGCCATTAAGAACAATTTCCAAATCGCTTGTAGGGTTAACTGGTGGAATTGCATTCAGTCCATTCACTCTTAACAGCTTACCTTGTCCAAAAAATATTTCCTAAATGAATAATTAAATAAAAAATAATAATTAATTATGAAATTTCTTCTATATATTAACACAACTGATATTTAAACTGTTCCAAGTTTTAAGAATTTCTGAGTTGTTTAATAATTTTGAAAGTGTCACAACTGTTGCAGAATCCTAAAGATGGTGGTAGGCTATTCCAGAATTTAGCAGCCACTATCTTGAGAGACATTTTACCCCATTTCTTCTCATATGAGTGCCTCTGTGAGAAAACTCGAAGAGGAGTGAGGAGATGTGTGTTCATATATATTCACAAGTTTAATAAGGTACACATTCACACCATTTTAGTGCTTAAAGTAATACTTACCATTCCATAGACAAATACATATATTTCTTTGGTATATGCTACATTGGGATTGGACCTTAATTTTTCATTTTTTTGAATAATCTGAAATAGATATGTGGAGTTTTCCTCAAATTGTGACAAGATGAAGGAACCATCGCCTTGGTAGTCGTAACGGAAACCATCAAACGTTGAATAATGAGGATCTCCGTGAGCGGTACAGTAGCGAGTTTCTAGAATATTATGAAAAAAAAAAAATACAAAAATTTATATTAGATACAAACACTGATATAAAAGATATAGATTCAAGAAAAAAAACCCCTCAGTTTACCATACATCTTAATATAGGTAAGTACTCATTTCCTTTAATTGGTTTCACTACAAACAAATATGGCGAAGCTGAATACGTGATTATTATTTATAATTTCTGGGGTACATATCACATGGATAACCCAATTGTTGACTTCTTGACTGTAAATACAGTAGAAACCCCCTTTTGGAACACCCATAACCCAAACGAGGGAAAGTATATCTTTGAACACTATGGGCAACCCCTATTCAAGAGGCACCACTATAATTAAGGGACACCTTTTTGGTCTTGGAAGTGTGGTTTTAAATATTAGTAACATTACAAACAAGTATTGTGAAAAAAGAAAGAGCCTTTTCTCCTTTACGTCGGGCACTCATTGCATCGTATGATTGTCATACCACCATCATACGACGAATTCAACTTCGCTCCCTGTGAACATTAGATGAAGCGATACCGTTCGCTGACTTTCGGTGTCAGTCTGAATGAGTCATAATTAAAAATGATCTGTTACGTGTGTGTTGTGATGTTGCGTTCTCCATAGAATTACTCCCGGTTGATAATGAACCCTACTGTTTCCGTCATGTCTAAGACAATGCTGAGATGATCAAGTAATTTCAAAGGCTGGGTGTATCCAACTTCGAACAACGTCGAAAAGGGAATGAGGACGTTTGTTAGGGAGACGGTTCGCACGTGGCGCCTTGGGTCGGACTGTTCCATTATTTTCGAAGGGGTGTTCCGTTTTGGGAACAATGGCAATTAGTCGGTTATCCAGGTAAGTATCTCACTCATAGACTGCGTTGTTTGATACAGTAAGTGCTTGGTTTACGTACCGATTTCACAATGCTCTCCCGTGAATCCTCTGGGGCATTGGCAAATGTACAATGGATCAGCATCCTGGTCATTGTTCGGGATACAACTGCCGGAATTGTTACATGGATTGGGAATACATGGATCGACTGTAGGTACAAAACAGATCAAATACAGATGAACAACACAAAATATACAAAATGCTTCATTCAATTATAGAAAATATTTAATTGTAAAAAAATTGCAAAGTGGTAAATTTTAGGCCCATGTGTTAAATGTTTGTTTATGTTGATTGACTTTCAATACGGGGAGGTGCAGATCAAAATACATAAGGGCTTTTTACAAGTGAAAGCTCAATAAACAATATCTCCCAACTACTGTAATAATTAGTTATTCTCAAAGATCTTATAACATGTTAGCATTCACCGCGATTTCTACATGCAAATTCTGTAATAATGCAGTATAGGATGCCCTCTTGCAATTACAATTACTTATTAACTTTGGCATCTATGATCTCCATGCAAATTCTGCAACAACCGCCATAATAGTAGCAACTAGGATGCCCTCTCTCAGTTAAAATTACTTTCTATTGTTTTCTGCGTGAATTGGACGTTTCTATTTGTTACACGCAAACCATGGAGAACGCTATCTTGTTATTATAAGATCTTTGGTTATTCTATATTTGAACAATAGAGGTCACATGTGACAAAGTACCTTCACAGTACGTTCCATTTCCAATGAAACCGTATGGACAGAAACAACCGAACTGGCCATCAGAAACGCCACACTCTGCATTTATATCACATGTCAGCTCTATGCAATCAATGGTGTTATTCAATTGACAAGTGCAAAGCATCCCACAATCTGACGTAGCAAATGATGAGAAGAGCTAAAGAAAAGAATAGAAAATAAAATTAAGTTGCATAACTGCAAAAACATCTTTGCTCACTACTTGTATATGATGGTATGGTAAAATAATCTGGTAAAGCGCGCTAGGAAAATGTAAAAAGGTCACGGCAGTCAAAACAAGTTTTGAAATTGTGAGCAGATAAAGA